AATCAAACTGAGATTTGTGTGGGAAGTAATCCTTAAACCTTCCCTTAAAGGTGTAGGAAAATCTGTAAAAATAACAATCTTTTTTTGTACCGTTGAGGTTCTTTTTATTCCCTTTTTTTTCCCTTTTCTTTTCACATATGTGACACATTTTTATTCGGGGGTTAAGTGTGTTTTCTCTTCTTTTTTTATTATTTTACCGCCTTAGCAAAAATAGTATCGAAGAGAGTTTGTTCTTCCTCACATTGTCTATACCCATTGATTTTATGCACGAATCCTAGCGAAAATCCCCCCTATACGTTTCGGGTGATCCCATTTCATTGTTCCTGTTTTATACGTTCTATTCTTTCGGATTGGCGCATTGCTCGCTCGGTGGTGGGATTGCGGAGCGCTTGCATGGCCTCGATGCTACGCCGAGCCCCGACGCCCCGATTTTCCATCCGCGCCTTTCCCTCAGGGCCCCGAGGCTTTGGCGGGGATCCCGGGGGCCTTTCCGGCCTGCGCACGCCGTGGCGCCCGTACTTCGTGTGCTTTCAGCCGACCCCGAACGAGGCGTGTTATAAATTCGACGTCGAGGGGGTTTTGTTTCGCCCTGCCGGCAGCCCGACGCTGCGGTTTGATCGCGCGAGCGACTACCAATCCCCCCTGGCCCGCGCGATCCTGGCGGCCCTGCCGATGGTGGAGGAGGTCACCGTGGGGGCGAGTTTCGTCACCGTCAAGCGGGTCGAGCCCGCGAACGCCGCGGCGGCCGCGCGCTACTTCGCGATGCACTTCAACGGGACGATGCCCGGGGGATTCGGCCCCAGGGAGGCCCCCAACCCCGTCCAAGCGGGCAATGAAGAGGAATCCTTCGAGCTCGGGGGGGTTCGCCTCGCCCCTGCGGACGACGAGCTCGACGAGGACGCGATTCGGACCTGGATCGAGGCCACCTGCTGGGCCGAGCTCAAACTCCACGTCTGCGCCCTCATCACGGACCACCTGTACAGCGGCGAGCCCCACGTCGCCCCGGACGCCCCGCACCCCCATCTCGACACCCTTCCCCAGGACGGCGACGGCGAGGTTGTTCTGATGATCAAAGAACTCATCGCCACGACGATCCGCCCTCAGCTCCAGAAGGACGGCGGGGATATCCGCTTCATTCGCTTTGACGAGCCCACCGGAGGGATGGTGGTGGAGCTGCTGGGGGCCTGCCGGACCTGCCGGAGCGGCCCCACCGCGCTCGTCGAGCTCATCGAGCGGACGACGTTCCATTGGATCCCGGAGGTCAAGGCGGTCTCGGAGATCGGCCGCGAACCGACCGCCTTTGAGCGGTTCTACGAAGCCCCCGACGAGGACCAGGACGGCGCGCCCTCTACAAGTCTCCCCATCGCCCTGGACCAGGTTAAGGTGCCGGTCTTGCGCCGACAACCCCCCCTGGCGCCCGATTTGGCGAAGCAAAAAGTGGCCGTCTAATGTTGGGGTCACCCAATTCGGGATTCGCGTCCTCCACAGACGATTATAGGATAGCGCACTATACCTTTAGGAGCTTTTCCTTACACGGGACTTTAGGTCAATTTGGCACTCCGTAGCAATATAACGACTTCCTTTACTGCTTTTATTCCTTATGTTTCCCCTTTTTTTGTGTGTGTGTCTGTGGAGGGGGGAATTACCCATGACAAGAGATATTTCTTCTTTCTTTTTCCTTTTTCTTTGTTTACACAGTACTTCAAGTCCTTAGGATGGGGTTTCCTCGGTTTTTAGTATGGGTTTGCGTCTGACGGCGGGTGTGTTGGGAAGTTGGCCCCTGCATAGTTTCCCACCGTCAATGGAGTAGGTTTCTTCGCGTGATCCACAGACATAGTACCCGCCATGAGCTTTTTTATTCACGTGCTCTTGTTGGGCCTCCCTCTAGTGGTAGACTACTTTTCGTTTTCTTTGAGCGTATTCCCATTGGCGTCCTACAATAAAAAATGACGACCGCTAGTGCGTGTGGCATAAGGTAGGTATGGTAGGTTAAGAAGTCTCTGGTAATGTTAGGCGACGAACCTGTAAAGAATCCCTTCTTGTTATTAATTTCTCTATGACATTATTTCCAATCCACTGGTCCGTTCCCCATCTGTGAGCTTCACCGGACGCCTTTTACAACTCCCCACTTTTTTCTCTCTCTTCAAGGGTAACCCCAAGCCACGTGAACCATCGCTAACCCGTGCTTTTCCCCTCCTTTTGGGGGTATTTTTTTTCTCTGAATTGTTGATGCCCAACCGCCTTGCGTGGCTGGAGGACTTCAATGTCCTCGCCTCCTCCTTCCAGGCCCAGGTCACCGCGGACGCGCCCTTTTGCTTTTCCCTCCACGCCGCCCAGGACATCCACGTCTCGCTGCGGCTGACCCACCTCCACTACCACCCCCCCCCCTCCCCGCCCGCCTCTTTTTCCTCCCTTTCGCCCTCTCTTTCCTCCCCCCCGCCGGTTCTTTCCGTCCGCGCGAAGGTGCGGAGCCTGATGGCGGGCAGCACCATCGCGGCCTTCGTCATCGCCGTCTTTCCGCTCGATCTCGGGCGGTTTAAAGGGGGCGAGGAGGGGGGCCGCGTCCGCCCGAGCGACGTCGCCGCGGGCCTAAACATCTGCCTCGATCTCGACGGCGCCGTCGCCCTCGAAGTCGAGGGGCCGGGCTCGGTGCTCTTCGCGGGGGAGAAGTCCACCGCCCTTATCCCGAACTGGATGAACTTCCCCATCTGCATCGGCGGCGACTCCCACCACGACGGCTCCGACCCCGAAAGCGACAACGAGTTCGACGATATGTACCGCCTGGTTGAATATTAGACCCGAATAAAGGCCCTGGGGGAAGGGGGGGGGGGAAAAAAAGGGGAGGAAACCACACGCGAAGGTTTGTGAAATGAGGGCCTGGCCTGGTTTTCAACCCTAGCCGCCAAATGAGGGTTCGAGCTTTGGTGGGGAATGCCGTCAATCGGGCGATGGCGTAGGGAGGGAAGGGGGGGTGAGTTGGAGACCTAAACCGAATTAATCGGTATTCAAAAGTCTCTCGTGTAAGATGGATTGTGTTGTTTATAAGACTAACCCAACTAATGATACCAAAATGTCGGCGTGTTTACGCGTTGCTTTACAATGACATGGCGGATGCTGTGGTGGATGCCTTTGGTTTTTCCCCCCCCCCCTCCCCCTTTGCGTGTGCCTCTCACGCGTCTTGTTGATCCTCCGAGGGTGGTGCGCGTCCTGTGGGGCGAGCCATCCCTCAACGACCTCCATAACTAACCCTAAAGAAAGCAAACTAGACGCCACGATCATTGACCGAGAAAAACTATGCCGTGCGGGGGTGTGGGGAACTGCGGTCGTGGGCCACCTCGGCCTTCCCTGCCGATCCCCCCCCCCTCCTCCCCCCCTGCGCGAATACTTCGGAGGGGCCGAACAGACGCCGATCGCGCGTGCGGTGGGCGGCCATCATCGGCGCGTATGAACTCCGGCCCTCGCGGCTCGCCAGGGCCGTCGAATTCGACGGCCCCCGCGCGGAAACGGGGGATGGGCCGGGCCTTCCGCCTTGGCGAGCTCCGCGGGGTCTTTCGTGAGTGATTTCCCTCCGCGGCGGACAGGAGGGGAGGAGGGGGAAGGGGGCGAACGCG